ATTAAATGACTAATTATTTTGAAAATTGCAGAACTTTTCATCTACTTCATAATTAATAGGGGTAAATTAATAAACTCACTATGTCATTAATTGATTTCTTAATAAATGTGTAAATTTAAAAGTGGACAAGTAATTAAGGACAGAGGGAGTATTACAGTCTTATTTGACATTATGAGATATTTCTTAGACATTTAAGGAGAATGGTAGACCGAAATATATATTATATATTAAAGGATGAACTTCATGCAATGGAAGAATTTGTTATTAGCAAATATATTTTAACTTATTTGATAAAAAATATATTCTTTCTCATTTAATAGATGTAAAATTTGTGAAACTTTATTTTTTTTCACAATCTTCATATTATTAAGACAAATAATAATATTACGATTAAACAACAAAGTAAATACAAAATTAATCAAAAATATTTAATTTAAATGATCGCGCGAAGTGCGGCCAAGTCCTCTAATTTAAAACAAAAAAGTAAAATTTAAATGGGTCTACTATAGAATTCCTAAAAATCCAACTTGAAAAATTATGTTAAAAATGGAAAATAAAAAGTGAAATAAATTTAATTGATAGTTATCCTTCGTCTGTCCCATTTTATGTGAGACTTTTTATTTTTCGAGAATCAAATAGTTTAAGTTTAACCATAAATTTGCGTATGATATCTTAATTTTTTTTTTTTAAAATTTGGAGAAATTAGATAAATAGTAATCTTAGCTTCTAAGAAATGTGACATCATCATTTACATATCCAACTTTTATATATATAAAAGAGTTAAAAAAGAAAAAATAAGTGATTTAAGAAAATTATATAAATAACATTAATGATGAGATGAAGATTAAGAAAAAACGCCAAATAAATTAGTAGTATTGATGATGATAAAAGTTAAATAAATCATTTTTTCTATTACTTAAATTTTTAACATAAAATTTCCAATGTTTTAAAATTAAAAAAAAATGTTAAAAATTAAAAAAAAAATGGAGGCAATAATTATTTTATTAAAGAAAAATATGTGTAGAAAAAGTAGAAGTAGATGAAGTTACTTTAGTTCATCTTTTTGGTGGGCCTCAATGTACAATTTCTATAGCTTTTAGTCCAACTCTTTAGTGCAATGTTGGTCCTCCAAACTCCCATTTTTAAATAAGAGTAAAATAAAATATAAAAGAGTTAAAAAAGAAAAAATAAGTGATTTAAGAAAATTATATAAATAACATTAATGATGAGATGAAGATTAAGAAAAAACGTCAAATAAATTAGTAGTATTGATGATGATAAAAGTTAAATAAATCCTTTTTTCTATTATTTAAATTTTTAACATAAAATTTCCAATCTTTTAAAATAAAAAATAAATGTTAAAAATAAAAATAAAAATAAAAATCAAGGCAATAATTATTTTAAAGAAAAATATAACCAAAATTGTCAGAAAATTAATTCTTCATGTGGGTTGTTGTATATGTAGAAAGGCACATGTACAATTAATGAGGCACAATTAATTTTATAGTACAATTTGAAATGCTTTGTGTACAACATGGTAGTGCCGTGTTCGTGCTTTAAAGTGTCAACTCTAATAAGGAGCCAAATGAGTAGTAATAATAATTCTAATAAGGAGTAATGGGTAATAATAATAATTGCAATGTTAGTCCTTCTAGGTAATGAGTAATAATAATAATTGCAATGTTAGTCCTTCTATGTAATGAGTAATAATAATAATTGCAATGTTAGTCCTTCTAGGTAATGAGTAATAATAATAATTGCAATGTTAGTCCTTAGTGTTAGTCCTTCTATTAATGTACAATTCTTTTTGCACGTTGTATAACTAATTAATGCAGTCAAAAGTTAATGTACAAAATTGTATGCATGTTGTACAAGAGTATTAATGCAGTGTTGGTCCTTTCCAACTCTCACTTCTAAATAAGGAGATAAAATATAGCAAGAGTAAGATATTTTTCAACCTTATCATGGTAAAAGTTGAATTTATTATCCTTTTCATTTAATTTTATATGATAGTATTTTTTCTATAAAATCATTATATATGTTTTAATAATTTAAATTTCAAAAACATTATAATTTAACTTTAAAGATTTTATTTTATCAAAATCTTCTACATTGAAACATATAGTTATGAACCCGACTTAATAAATATGTCTTTGAATTTCGTTTTACTTGGTCCATATTGACTTGACATAACTCATAAGAAATTTATTTATCATATATTAATTTTATTAATTATGCATTGAAAGTTAAATTTGACTATTAGTATTTAATATAGTTACTTAATCATAAAGTCAATATTAAGAAAAAATAAATAAATTTCTCTTAATTTGGTAAAATAAAAATAAAATTTGGTATAAGAACAAAATTAAAAATATATAATATTTATTTAATTTTAATTAATATATATTATCATTTTTGTAAATGACCTAATTATATTAAATTTAAGGAATACTAAATTTAATAGTGATAATAATCTGAGTTTTCAAATGAAAGGTATAATGATGAAATTATTTACTTTTCATGTGATATAAATGAGAAATTATATGGAAGACATTAGAACAACCATTTTCATTAGAACAAAAAAAAAAGAGTTGAGCATCTTGTACATTTGTCGAGTTAGAAAGTTCAATGATCTACAAATTTAATGCATTTCAATACTGGGTAAGGCGTAATGTATAATTTAATTGAAAAGAGTGATTAAAAAAATGTTGATACAGTCCACATGACAATATAGAAATAACAATTTTTTTCAAGCAAGCTGATATTAAAAAATATAATACCCACAATCTTTTCATTTAATGATAAAAAACTGACATGTTGAAACTATTAATTATATTGTAAAATTTTGAATTAACTATTAGTATTTCAGATAATTACTTGAAAATAATTAATTTTCTTAATTTATCACAATAACAAGTGAAATAAAAGAAAATATTTTTAATATAAGAGCTAATAACATGTATTATTTTATTTATTTATTAATTTTTACTTGTCATATTTGAATTTGGCACACCAATTTAGAAAATAATAATTGATATAACTATTTACCACACTATTTTTATTGATTGATCTTTAATAGTATTAGATCTTGAAAAATAATTTGAGAAATAATAAGTAATTAATGCTGAAAGCAAAATATGAATTAAAAAAAATCATATTTCTTAAAATGTGAAACTGAATAGATAAAAAAAAATATATTCTTAAATAACAGACAAATAAAATTAAATAAGAAGAATATTTATTTATGACAGTAAAAAAGTAATAAGTACTTAATATTCAGCGGGACCCATGTGTTATGACATTAATGAAAAAACAAAAAAGTAGAACCCATCATATTCTTTAATGGCAGGCATGGTTTGTAAATAAATAGAAAATGATGGACTTTTTAAAGAGTTTTTGCTGAGGTCCAAATAACAAAGCAAGAAGTACAAATTTTCTAAGCAAGTTTATCTTGCAATTTTGTTGTGTCCCTTCTAAATAAGCAAGGGGCAATGACCAAATTGCCCTGAAGCTTTCTAAATATGGCAAAAAACAGTCATGTTGAAAGTGTCTCAAACTCTCTCTTCTAATATATATATAAATATAAATTTCTTTCTAAGCACTCTTCCTCATTTTTTTTGTCTTCTTATTCCTCAAAATTGTGATGTTGAGTAAATATGAAGTAAGGTGGAAACTTTCGTTTGGACATTTTCAATTCTAGTATTAAATTTATATTGTTGAATTTTTACTTTTTGTATATATATGCATAGAAGCTGTGTAGAGAAAAATTAGCAAAGTATTGAATAATACATATCTTCAAGGTCAATTTTTTTCATATTTCTTGTGTGTTTTCTCTAAATCTTTATTTAGTTTTTCTTCAATTTGTAAATAATATATCAATATGACAACATCAAATCGCAGAAAGGTATAATTAAGGTAAAATATATTAAACTTTAACCCCCATTTATCTTCTAATTTTTTGGTACTACAAACTTAAAGATATTACTTTCTTCTTAACTATTCGTTAAAATTATCCTTAAAATGATAAAAAGAATAATTATGGTGTAATGAAAAGGGAACTAAGGAGAAATTATCTACTCTTCTCGCCACACAATGTCTTTTCCTTTTGAAAATTGATTTCTCATAGAAAAGTCAAAATACTAAAAATGATAATGACGACTTAACATTATACTTGGCATGTTATGGTGAGTCCAAGTCTCGAAAATATTACAGTGCTAACTTAGTCATATGCACTTCAACAAGTTTCAATGACTATCAACGGTGTTTGAATTAACTAGGGAAGATGAATCTTTCTTTAAAAAAATAAGAATTCAATTTGCAATGCCATGTGGTGATATAAAGAACATAACATGTGCAAAAATATGTTGTTTTTTTTTTATTGAAATGATTTAGTGGATAATAAAACCCCGCAACATCTCATCTTTGTCACATGGTCATCTATATGAATTTTGTGCATACAATAATTGAACGTTAGGTATGTTGTTCTAAAGTTTTAAAAGTACATCTCTATTTTTTTTTATCCCTTCTTAGAAACAACGCATTAAAATTAAAGACGAAGGATACTTAAGGACCATTTGGTAACTGATTTGAAGGTGAGTTTTTTTGGTATTAAATCTCGCATAAGTAATACTCTATTTGGTAGTTGGTTAAGAAGTAAGTTGTTTGTGTATACAATTAATAGGGTGTTTGATTTGCAATTTTAAAATCCGCATAACTAATACTTGGATAATGATATACGTTACGAGAGAATCTATATATTATTTTATGCAGGATAAAAAGTAGAATAAGTAATGCATATATAACTAGAAATGGTATAGACTAATACATTA